CCCCCCCCCCCTCCCCTCCCCTCATGCGCAACCACCACACCTCCCCTGTTGTGTGCGACCCCCTTTTCAGGCCCCAGGGTGATGTCACTGTTGCCGATGGCGATGCCTTGGAACGCCAACGCCTGCTCGGTCGAGGAGGCACCGTGAGTGATTTCGTGGGGAGGGGGGCGGGTAGTAGGGATCGGTGCGCACCAACACGAAAGCGTCGTAGAAGAAAGAATGGATTGGCCCGTGCAGCACAGCAGGGGAGGGTGGAGGTTAGGGAGGCGTTTCGGTGGCCGCGAGTAGATGGTGGGAGACAGCAGTTGCGTCGTTATCCCAATCTTGTGTTGCTATCGCCGTTGCTATTGTTGGCCGTTTTTTTTCTCACTGTGAAGAACGACTTCGTTTTGTCATTCGCAGCGTGGGTCTTTTCCCCTAAACCCAAGCTGCTCGGCCCTGCGTCCCTCTTGTGCACGTGTGCCTCTCCAACACGCGCACACGTTCTCGCCCGCCGACGTCATCACCACCCTGCTGCATTTTGGAACAGAACCCCCCTCAACAGCGCACTCCGTTCAGGCTCCAAGTACCACATGGACATCGTCCTCGTCAACAGCAGCAGCGGCAGGTGCAACTAGAGCACACGCTGCAGCGAAAGCAACACCAGCAACACGAGATACTCCGGCGACAGCAGCAGCAGCAGCGGCGGAGGCTTCAGCACGCGCAGCAGCCTCGACAGCAACAGCAGTCAGGGCAGGAGCATAGCCGGCAGCATGCCGTCCTTATCGGTCACCGCGCCCCTGAAACTTCTCCGCGGAGGTCGGAGAACAAGCGGGAGGGGGCGGAGGCAACAACGGGACTCCTTCTTGCCGGCAGCAGGAGCGGCGACGGCGGCACCGGCACACGCACCGCGGCGATCCCGCCTGCCGCCGTCATGCAACACAACGGCACTCCTGATGGGACCCCAGGCGCAGAAAGGGCCTGTCAAAGCGTGGCGGAACCGGGTGGATGCGGCAATGTGGGCGGGGTGCAGGGGCACGGGCGTCGGGGAGAAAATACGGTGGAGGTGAAGCCGCCGGCTCCGTCTGCCCCGAGGACGGAGGGTGTTAGGCTTCACGACGAGCCAGCATCCGCCGCCCCCGCCGCCACCCCCGCGGAAGAGGCTCTGCTTGGAGAGAAGCACGATCGGCCCTCGGGCGCGCCGAGCGAGGGGACTGCAAGTGGGCAGGGGGACCGCCACCAGCACCCGCGAACTACAACTACCACTCCGAAGCAAGAGATAGGGGCGGAGGAGGGAGGAGATATGAAGCGGGAACGTCGACAAGCTGCGAACGATTCGGTGGGCGGCGGTTGCCTCCCCCGGGGAGGAGATCATATCTACCCTAAGAACAGCCAGGGCGGGGGTGGGGGCGGGAGACTTGCCGAGTGGGCTTCTACCACTGCAGCACACGAAGGGGCACGTAGCGGCGGTAGCACTACGCCGCCATCGCCGTGGTGGGATCGGGCAGAAGCCGGCGACGAAGCCTCCTCGATGACGATCTACCCTTATTTCCACAGGAAGAGGCGCGGTGATGGCGACGACGATGAAGCAGCGGCGGCCCTCGGCGGCGGCGGCGGTGGCGCGGGACGGGTCCGGCCTTCCGACGACCCCTCAACGTTTCGTCTCTGCAGGCGGCGGTTTCACGTCGGAGTCGAGCCGGGTGGGACGAAGACCGAGCAGCCCGATCTCCGAGCAAAAAACCGCGAGGGTGGGGTGGAGCAGGGTGGCGGGGATAGTACGAGCGGGCCAATGCCGTTAGATGGAAGCAGCAGCAGCAGCAGCAGCTTACGCGAGGAGAGAGGCGGGCGGGGCTGGGGGGGGCGTTGGCCCTCGGCTCAAGGGGCGGCGAGGTGGCGGCCAGTGCTGTGCTCGGACGAGGGCCAGGAACGGTCGGTCAAGCGTGAGAGGTCCGAGGCCCAGGCCGTCGCCGTTCCGGACCGGGTGTGGAACCGCCGCCGCTGTTGAGCGTGATTTACTAGTGCCAGAATATGTCCGTGTCTGTTCGTGTGGGTGCGCTTGTTTGTGTTTCGTTGGCGGTTTTTACTCGTTGTCGTTATTAGTTCTTGTTTATCTTCGACAAGAAGGGGGGGGGTCGGTCACCGGGTCCGTATTCGGGAGGGAGGGGGGGGTATGCTCATCCCACGGTCGTTGCACATGAGCTTTGGGCGCGATAAAGCACACGGCATCCTGGAGCTCGTGTTGTTTGTTTGTTCCCGGCGTTCCTCAGAGCGCCGTGTGGTGTTTGCATGGGTCCATGACATATATTTACCATAGCTGAGAGTTGCCATAGGCCACCAAGAGACACCTCGATTTGCTCTCCGGATCTAACGAACCGCCAGGTGTAAGTTATGGTAAGAGTTAATTGCGTTGAAGAACCGCTCATCCTGCCCGGGTTGCTTATTCCCAAGAGTCCCTCCAGAGCGTGTGGCGTTTGCGTGTTTGCAACACATTAATTTACCAGAGCTCAGAGTTGCCGTAGGCCACCAGGAGGCAAACTCGATTTGCCTTCCGGATCTGACCAACCGCCTGGTGTAAGTTATGTGACATTGTTTGGTTGAAGACCTTGACGCCACCTGGAATCCTGCCCCTGTGTTGCGCATTTCTGAGGTCCCTGCAGAGGAGGGGCGTACGTCGCTTGCATGTCTCTTATCGGTTGCCATACAGTGTATGCTGCGAGGATAACAACTCGTTGCTTTTCCGGATCTACCCGCCTGGAAGTTGTTTTAGTGTTTTTGTTGCGTTGAAGAACTTGAGACCACCCGGCACCCTGACCCCCGTGTGTTGCTTATTCGCGGGGTCTCTCCAGAGGAGGCCGTGTGACATTTGCATGTAAAGTGTTTTGTCAGTTTGTGTACCGGGTGCTAAGTTGCGATGGGCCGCCAGGATACGACTCGATTGTGTTTGGGATCTAGCCGCCTGAATGAGGTAAGTGGTAGGGTTGCGGATATTGGTGATGCTGGCTTTTGTAGCGCCCGACACTGTTCAAGGCATGACGGATGGATAATTGTATACGTTTCGTGCTCATCAGTCGAGACCACCCACCACACGTGTGTGTGGGTACACCCTGGGCCGTTGGCATGTGTCTGTACTGTTTGCGCGATTGCACGCATCTTTTTCGGGGTAACGATTCGAAGTACGTTAGTACACACCATGTCGTTTTTTTGGAAATAATGGAAGAACGGTGCGATAGCCGACCGGCTATCGTCGAGATGGATGGATGGATGGATGGATGGAAGGCAACATGGTCGGGTTGGAGTGATCGACTCACGTACGTGTCGTTTCCGCCGGCGGGGGTCCTGACTGTAATTTGGGCGCGACAAACAAGAAAAAATCATATAGCGACCAATGGGTTTGTCGTTGCTGTGTTTTGGGCCTCCAAGCTATTGGAGATGGTGCCAACACAAACTGGCTGCATGTGTCAGCCGTTTGGTGTGGACACGATGGTCCTGGTCGAAAACGTTCTGTCGACGCCACTGAGATGCGCAACGCACGGGGAAACTCCACAGTAAATTTTATGCCTCAGCCTCTCTCCCTCCTCTCCTCGTCGCAGTTGACCGTCACGTGCTTTGTCGCGAGAAGGAAAGCATTTACTGTTGCTTCAAGCGTAGATACTTGTGTTTATACGAAAAACCTGTAGTACGTACATAATGTTGTCTGCAAGGCAAGTGGGCAGGCTGCTTTACAAGAGTCCTCGCCCTCTACAATGTAATACGCTTTTCGCAGCAGCAACAGCAGCGGGCGGCTGCGCGTGCTCTGCATCCCCGTGAAGAAAACCTCCCAGACATCCGTACATAGGCAGATTATGGGTCGGACACGGCGCGCTCGTCGGTGCCGCCTCCCTTCCCCCTGGCCGCCCCCCCTCCTGCCGCCGCCGGTGACCCCGTCATCGTTTTCGTCGCTTGCCGCGGCTTGAGCGAAGGGGGCGCGGCGGTGGCGACGACTGCGGCCCGAGGCTTCTCCGTGCCCAGGAAGGTGGAGTAGCCCCCTGCCGCCCGCGTGTCCGTCGGGCCGTTCGCCCAGATCAAGCGAAAGCATCCCACCCTGATGATGGCGTCGGGGGGGGGGGGGGAGGGGAGTCCAAAAAGAGATGAAGAAAAAACGAGGTGTTGTTGATGGATGTTTCGTGAAGTTCTTCAATACATTTGCACTTTATAAATAGAAATGCCCCTAATCCCCCCGCGCCCAGCTCCCATCGAGATCGAGAAACAAAATGAAACACTAGTGTGCGGAATGCATAGATAACGGTTCTTCAGTCTTCGCTGCTGTCACATCTATCCACAACTGCATCAGCGACGACTACAACCACCACCACAGCAGACCACCAACAACAACGAAAATAACTGCTAGACTCAGCGCTACGAAACGTGCAATCGGAGCTTTCGTCGCTCTCGAGCACGACTTACCTCTGCTCGTCGCCCTCCAACCTACCCTCGAGGTCGACCACGTCCAGGACGTCGGAAATGAGTTGAGTCTTGAGTTTCTTGTCGGCAGCGTTCTCGGCGCTCAGGCTCGGAGAGGCGTTAACCTTGGCGGGCAGAACACACGCACAGACGACAAAATTCTGTTGTGCTGGCGTTTCTGTCATTATTCCGGAGAGTGACTTAGCCTCCCCCATGATGCCCCCGGAGGTGTCCAGATCATGGTACGTGGCCTCTACAAACAATTTCTGTGATTAGCCGCACCGAGACTGGCGTGTTTTCATTGGTCAGGCCGGTGTGTCCATGCTAAGTACAACTATAACACAAACACACACGTGCCCACAGTGAAACTATGAAAACTGTAAAATCGTATCATTTCACTGGTCAGCTGCTTAGCCAGGTGGTCGATTTTGATATAAGAGCCACCCGACGATGAGTGAGGCCCGAACACCTTCGGAAATGTTTCAGAAGTCTCAGCCCTGATGTTCGCAAGAGTTTGTTTGCATACAAACGGGGGTGATACGTGAGGAATGAACAAGGAATTTAGAAAATAGGGGTGGTTTGCTATCATCGTCGTTGTGGACATCGGATACAATACACACACACACACACACACCTACCTCCAGCAACCAGGGCTCGAGATCCGCGTCCACGAGGACGTCGTAGCCGTACAGCTCGAAGCAGTGCTTGTCGTGAATGATGCTCTTCTGCACCGACAGCAGCGATCTGATTCAGCCAACAGCAATGCAGAGACGAAGGAAGAGAAAAGGCGGGAGGCAAGGAACGGAGAGAGAGAGAGGGACAGAGGCAGAGACAGAGGCGGAGACAGAGGCGGAGAGTGAGAGAGAGAGGGGGACAGAGGCAGAGGCGGAAAGAGACGGAGAGAGAGAGACAGGGAGAGAAAGAGAGAAAGAGAGAAAGGAAGAAATAGAAAAAGAGAGAAGGAGGGAGAGAGAGAGAGAGAGGATACCAAGCAAAAAATGGAAACGAGACACAAAAGGGAAAGACCCACTTGGACAGTGAAGTGAAGGGCTTTCTGGCAGTACACACCTAGCTTTAGCGCCACACGCTGCGGACCACCTATTTGCATTATAGAGCCTCAGAAAAAGTTGTGCTGAGTGCCTGCTCCCATTCCACATAAGGAGCAACAGCAGGGTGCGTACATCACCGCCCAAGGTGAAAATTTCACATTGTGAACTCAATTCAAACGTAAAATGCTAACTGTGTTGTGACGAGGCAACGATACTTCATCTTACGCAGAGCGCTGCTGCCTCAAAACTTGCCGCCGGTGAAAAAAGCGAGGTAAGCAAGACCAACCAAACACGATCATCCATTTGCCCTTCGCACAACACCAATGGTAGAATTCGTCCACACAGAATAGGGAAGGAAGACAACCCGAGACATGGTCGCGGGAATGAGCTTGAGCTACTGTCAGGCGGTGAAGCTACGTATTCGCACACAAGGGACACCCAAACATGGTTCAGTCAGGACGAACATCTCGTGTTTGCTTGAAACGTCTTGAAAGCACCGTCGTCAGAGAGTGCCAAAAAAGCGAATAAATAACTCCAGCAACCAACCAACCGACCTGCCCCGAACTGCCTGCAGCAACACCGTGGTAAAATAACGTTTGCGCGATGTCGGCACCTACCGCGCCCTGAGATCGAGCACCCGCCACCACTCGGGGGGCCCCGTACATATACACACCTCGTGATGAGGCACTGCATGTCGTAGAACAGCTCGTCCACGGCGCGAGCACCGTGCTTGAGGGTCAAAAACATCTGGATCCGCAAAGAGCGGCGAGCGGTGGGAAGGGGAGGGAGGTGTGCTCATGCCGACGAATACCGTAGTCGCTGGATTACTGGCCACGCGCGTCCCTACGATGCCGGGACGGAGCGGTGTTTTCGTCCGCCCAGGCGGCGGCGTGATGAAGGAACACCAAGCAAGATGATCCAGACTTTGTTCCGTTTCTCTCTCAACACCCCACAACACCGGTGTGCCGCTAGCTAGACTACAATACTACGGAGGCCTAGCGAGTTTTCCCCCTTGCAGGGTGGGACCGATGGTTCAACTCCGTTAAAACAAGGGGCGCCGGGGAACGGACGGTGGGTGCGCGCGGGGAGGTAATCGTTTACGTGCACGTTGTCGAGTGTACATATGTAGACGTCGCATACCCTTCAACCTGCAAAAAGGACTTACGGGTCCGGTTCAGGGTCAAAAGCACAGCCCGGGGTTCCAAGAACGACATGGGGTTTCGCTTCAGCATCAACAAAACGTCGAGGCAGGTTTCGACGCAGCGGGGGGTGTCTGGGGAAGCCGGGTTGTTACTCATCCACGAACCCCCCAAATTGAGACGACTGACGCGATGTTTGAAGGGTCTGCGTCGTCACAAAATCGCCGAAACGCGGAGAAAGAAAAAGTTCAAAATTCGTCGAGACAGTACGGGTACAGCAGTGCACCCTGGCCCACACAACCACGAACCACCATACTACCTACCACACACCAGATACCACACACCGCGGGTCATCGCCTTCGCCAGCCGCAAGTTCTCTCGCACCGTGGCACGACGAGAGTGTGTGTGAGGGTGCTATAAGTGGACGTGGATCGCTTTAAAACCGTACCTAGCGGATAGTTGAAGGGAAGGTAGGCGGTGTTCATTGGTACTGTAGACTACTGTATACAGCGGGCCTAACGAACCAGCGATCACCACCTTTAGGCTCTGCAGGTCCCACTTGCAGCCGACCTCCTTGTCGTAGTCCTCCGACTTCTTCTGGATCGCCACGTTCGTGAGGTGCACGTAAGGGTTAGCCAGCGCCGCCCTGTCGGTGCAGTACCTGCGGGCGCAACCACCGAAGCCCTTGCCGATTCAGCACGATTGAGTATCGATATTTTCGCATGAGCGTCGTTGTCCCCCTGCTTCCCTCTCTCTCTAAGTCGTGGTAGAAGTTAGTCGATAACATCGCATCGCGCTAGTAGCAAACATGCAGGGTGCGACCTCCCTCACCTTGTGCCCGAGAAACGCGCGAAACCCCCGTTGTAGAGCCACACCGTGAGGGGGTTGAAGGAAGTCACCAGCACGTACAGCCTGAGGTCAAACTTCTTACCGCCGATCAGGTACGGGTTCTCCACGTACCGCTGTGCGATGTACGCCTCGGCCTGGGGGTTTCCATTTTGGATCGAAGAACGAAGAAAAATGCCAAACAAAGTAAAAAAATAAAAAATAAAACGACGACTGCAAGGCAAACCAGTTTCGCACGTGTGCGAAAAAAAGGTCAAGGGTGAATCCGAGAGAAAAACAAAAACACGCGAGAGCCGACAAGTTGTACTGACACAGCAGCACATCAGGGAACAATCGCGTAACCCGGACCCGCATGTGACGAATACCTTTTCTTGAAAATACCGTAGGACTCTGGTAAGGAAACAACTTCTGGAAGGAGGATGAACGGACAGGTGGACTGGAGGGCACTCAGAACACAATGTTGCTTGGGAGGGCGGGCGGCTTTGGAGTGGGCTCTTGCTAAAATGTCGTCCTTCTTTGATCACCACGCGTGTGCATCGGAGCGTACGTCGAGGGTCCACCTGTCATCAGCCCGCGTGGTGGTATAGTTAACCCCCAGATTTCTCGGGGGGACCGGGGAAGAAACAGCACAGGTTAAAGTCGACAAGCCAACGACTTGCCTGGTAGCACGGCAATAGCAATGCCTCTTGCGCCCGCAACCACGATAGCACCCCTCCCTCGCAAATAATACAATAGCAACAGCAGTAGCAGCAGCAAACAACGACAGGAATGCGATATCAACTAAGACGACCGGCCGCCCGTTACAACAACCACCACCACGAGTGCGATGAAGACGGCGACGGCCACGACGGCAGCAACAACACCAGCAGCAGCAACAACAGCAGCAGCAGCAGCAGCAGCAGCAGCAGCAGCAGCAGCAGCAGCCAAAAGCGGCTAAATAGTTACCTGGGGTTGGTCCGCTTTCCATCGGTGGTCCTTTTTCCACTCGCTGATCTGACTCAACTTGTTGAACAAGAAGATCCCCCTGTTTGAAGCAGCGAACAGGCCAGGTTGTAGTCGTGAGGACACGAGCAACCAACGTGAAGTGGAAACACGCGTCGAGTCAGTCAGGACATCGTATGTTAGGTACTGCTGCTGCTGCTATTGGTTCGTCTTTTCCCCACCGAGGTCACATCATGTCCTTGCTACATGAAGGACTCGACGTCATATCTTGCCAAACGTCAAACAGAATGGACATGAAATCGTCAACTTGATAGTGAGTCGGAATCGGAACGACAAAACAACAACGAAAAGGAGAACGTACCGTAGACGAGTGCCCACGCGAAACAAAGGCGTACACCCAAACGAGAGCACGAGCACGCCGCGTACGGGGTCGGCGTCCAAGATGCCTTCCGTCGTCAATGCTTGTCGGCTGTACGGTGTCACGAAGGCACCATTACAAGTCTACCATGCCAATTGCAGCGACAAAATCTCGTTCAAGACAGGAACAACGCCAAGCTGCTCACCGCCTTCTCCGAAAGAAAAACCAAGCTGAGGCCTCTACACGTTTTGATCCTTGCCTTCTTCTCTCCTCTATATCCACAAGTTTCGAACGTCTAATCTACTACTGCGTGTCCACCGGGCACAGCGCGACAACAAAAAAAAACACGGAAAGTCGCCCGACGTCTAGGTTACCATTCTCTCGATGCACTACGCACGGACACGGTGTGTTTGGGGGTGCTAGGCAGAGTACTGACCTCTGGGGGTTACGTGAATCATGATATGTGAAACGATGGGCGTTTCCGCGTGGGGGTCGTTTTGCTTCCCGCATCGGGCCCGTCACTCACTCTCTAAGGTCTTGAGTCAGCCTTCTTTCTGTCCTCCGACGAAGCTGCCCCACCCATAACACACAACCAGTCGAAATCGCGTACCCACCTCCCCTGTGCCCGTCCGATGGGCTTCATGATCCACACCGCCCCCGGGGAGCGCTTGAACTCCTCAACGAACATTCCGTACTCGGACGGGAGCACGAAAGTGCCGGTCCAGAAGCTGAAAACACAAAGGGAAGCGGTGGTCAAGGCGGGTAAGGAGGCAAGCTGGTGCTAGGGTATGACACACATTCATGGGGGGGGGGGGGGG